ACAGACACAGAATATTTTATTTCCTATTTTATATGTCAACACTGATTTACTGATATGAAGCTTGTCCATCCATCCATCACGGTCTCTTTTAAAGCAGAGCTCCCTCTCTTGTTCACAGATACATGCTATGAAGCCTGATTCCAATTTGCTCTCTTGGAGTTTGGAAAAATTTCCAGCGATTTCTTTTTTTTAGAGTAAAATCCCAAGGAACAGACACAGCTGGATCTGATCTATACCACTTCCTCTGCTAAGCACGACGTGTCCAGGCAGATCTCTGACTGGCTGATGGCCACCCCTCCCTCAGCCTGGTGGCTTTATAAGGTTTTTGCATAAAAGAGATTTTTTCTTTCCCAATGTCGTCAAAGTGACTGCTCATACAGAACAGGGATCGTTTGATTGCTGAGTTTTCTTTCTTTTATATATTTTTTATTTTTTATTTTTTATTTTTTAATTTATTTTATTTTATTTTATTTCTTTTATAGTAGTCTCTACTTTAAAATATAAAGTACCTTAAGGTAACTGTTGTTGTCATTTGACACTATTTAACTAAGCTAAACTGACTTTGTTTAAATGTCACTTGAGAATATGTGAGGCAGAGTTGAGGCAGTCAGCCTAATGTCAGCCCTCAGTTAATGTGGTCAGTCAAGTCCAAAGATTTCAGAGATTATGGCCAAATCTGGGCAAAATATTAATTACCATCAGGAATTAATGAATTCCTTGCTCCTGATATCCAGACTAATTTGGTTGGTTCTCACATACATTCCTCCTCCAAAGGAAGCAACACACTCACGAATCTGTTCATCCATGACTTTATGATGTTTCCTCTAATTCTTTTAATAATAATAAATAATAAATAATAAATAATAATATGAATAATAATAATAATAATAATAATAATAATAATAATAATGGATTGCATTTATATAGCGCTTTTCGGGACCCACTGGGGAAGGCAGCTACAGTTTTAATGTCACGTAAGCTCTGATGTCCTCTGACCCAGATGAGTCATCTTACATCCATCCATCTTCCTTCCTTTGTGGTAAAGGGCTGGAGCCTAAGACCCCATTATGCTACGTTGCCTGTGTCACGGGTGTTGCGCGCCAATTTTGATATCATATCCTGTAAAACGATGTTTGTGGCACCTCCAAGGTGCATTGCATCGAAGATAAAATATATGATTGTGTCGGTTTTGACCTACAGCTAAATGATACTTTAGATCAGGAGCTCAGACACATACAGTCACACAGAGGGAGATGTTGTCTGTGTGGCGACACATTCCTGCCTCCTGCAGGTATAAATATCAGGGACTGTCAGACTGGTTGCGGCAGATATACCTTAACCCAGATGCCACAGAGCGAGAGTCAGGATACGGTCTAGACAGGTCACCAGCTTGACACAGGGCTGATGCAGAGAGACAGACAACCACACACTCATGTTCACACCTGTGGGCAATTTAGATCACCAGTTCACCTAACCACACTAACGACAACTGAGAGCCTAGACAGGAAGAACACGCAATCTCCATCCAGAAAGGCCCAGGAGAGGTTTCTTCCTCCCAATGATAAGAAAAAGCTATTTTGAATTTAAAAGGGATGTATTTCCCCTCTTTACACTGAGCCAAATTATAATAAAAATGTTTTTGCACTGTGTGCAGTTTATGACAGGGATTTAGTCATTAACTGCGGACAGAGCCGGCAGTCCAGTCTGTGCTAGAGCTGATTTGTCACCCTGCCACACAGATGCTGGATGAGTCACAGGGTGATGAGTTAAAGTCCGCCTGAAAGAAAAAGACTGGTAAACAACAGAAATACTTCAGGACTTTATTCTGTGTGAAAACAGACATGAAGCCTGATTGTATACTTGATTTTTATGGCAGAGATAAATAGAAGTGTCACAATGAAAACCAGAAACGCTGTGATGATGATTTTCACTGATCATTCTCACATGTTCAAAGAAACAATGACAGAGAGGTTACAGGATTACACTGCAGCAGTTCATCAGTTCTTAATCATGTTGCACTTGTGACAATCTTTTGTTCCTCGTGGGTTTATTCATACTCATGTAAAAGTAAATGCAGTGCTTATAGATGACAGAGCTCCTGGCACTGCCAAACCACACATGGCAAATATGTGATTACATGATTTTCATCCCAACACCTGTTTCAAACTTCCTGGATTTGTTTCCACTGACATTTCCTCAGTCTCTTGTTTTACCATTATCACTATTGTTGAAATTGTACTTTTGATTTCCACAGGAATTAAACATGATTGTGTTTCAAGTAGTGCACCATAAATAAGCATTATAAGGATAATGACTAAAGCCCTTCCACCCTTATTTATTATATTATGTTTGGATATTGTTTTGTTGGTTTTTTTGCACCATTGTGGTCTTGCTATGAAGTTCAAAAGTGGGATTAATGGTTTAGCAAGTTGTGTCAGGCTTACAGTCACAGTTTAAAGTATCAGGAAAGCAGCTCTTATTTTATTTTACTCAACATGGTAACATTTGCTGAAGGTCAACACAGATTCATGTGGGTCACATTTAAGCTGCTGAACAACCTCCAAGAACGACCGTTGAATCAGTCAAATTAACTTCACTTCACACTTGATCTGCTGACAGACTAAAGCAATTTCCTGATAAAGTGCTGAGTTAAAGTGTGAGACACTAATCTGCAGCCATAACATTAGTAATAAACAGAAGCACCATGTTTTTGTTAAAATTGGAACTTGTGAACAACGGCAAGTCTAATTTTACTGTGTAAGCTGGATGCAGCAAAATTAGACAATAACTGTTGAATCAGCAGAATTCTCTGTTTTCTTTTAGATTTTCTTTACTCTGCGTTCCTCACAAAGACTTTACATCATCTCCATATCCAGAGATAAGACAGAATAACATTTTATGGTGACACTTCATAATTAATTTCTTCGTGAGGTCCCTGGTGTCTGTCCCCCTGTTCACTGACATCACTTGGAAGTCGAGACAGCAGCAGGAGACTCAAAGTTTAGCTGTTCAGAGGTCTGAGATATTTGAATGTGCTGCAGATGACTCTTTTATCCTTTATACTTTCTGTAGATCACAAAGCCAACAACAGCAGCAACAATGAGGACACCGGAAACTGACAGACCAACTATCAGTCCAACAGGTCTTCTTGGCTGATCTGCAGGTGAGAAACAGGTGTGAGGTGTCAGCTGTCAGGTAGGTGATGAGTGAAGAACAGAACAGAATCCATTTCCTCTTCTAACTGCTGTCAGACATTATCTACTGCACTCTGATCACATCACTCAGACCAGCTGCTTTCTACAAAGTCTCATCAACAACATCTTTAGAAACAAACATTAACAACCAGGAAGCAGCTTCACCTCTGATCACACACACACTCAACTCTACTCACTCACCTACAACACTCAGGTAGATGATGCTGATGGGCTTCAAACCAGATGTTCCTGTCTCAACGACACGACACTCGTATGTTCCAGTGTCATTAATCGTCACATTCTTCAGAATCAAAGACACGTCTCCATCCTTCATCTGTTTGTCCTTTAGATCCACCCGGTCCTTAAAAGATGGATGCTGGTGCACTAAAGTTTCCCTCCCATCCCGATACAAAAAAACATATTCATCTCCCAGGTCAGCTCTGCTCCACTTCACAGTCTGGATGTTTTTTCGAGCTTGACATGTCAAAGTGACGTTCTGTCCAGACTCAGCTGTGAAGTTTTTCTGGCCTGAAAGAGAAACAATACAGAGCAGAGAGGTTAAAGTACAAATGTTCACTTCTACAGCAGACACCAGAACTCTTCTGCTGAGAATTTCCCTCTAATTTCAAAGGTGAATTCAGCAAAAGTTTAAGTTTAACTGGTGAATTTTCTTTTCCATAGCCCTTAAAAATTTCTTCTATGCTGAGGAAGAGTGTGAAGAGTTTCTTAAGGCAGAGAAGCTCATTTAAATTTCAGATCTTAGAGTCTCACAAAAGTTATTCATAGACAAATAACGTGTTACTGTAGTCCGATTACTTTTTTCAAGTAACGAGTAAAGTAAGGGATTACTATTGCAAAAAAAGGTAATTAGATTACCGTTACATTCCAGTAAGCACGCTGTGTTACTGCCTTACTAAAACCGTGATTTTTTTTGCGAGAGGGTCTCATGCAGTGTTGCCAACTCCTCAGGAAAATCGCTATTGGCTGTCCTAAAAGTCGCTAGAAGTCGCTAAATGACGTCATGCTTATGTAATTGTAACCTACGCTGTTGGAAAGAGAAATAACATCGTGGAAGAGACATAAAGTGAGTAAAAAACGTCCTAAATGCAGTTAGAATTGATTTAGAACTACAAATTAAATTTCTTTTAGCAATTATTGTTTTTTAATGTCACAATTCCAACCCTACCCGGGCCTGGACCGGCAAAAGTGACCCGAAATAGGCACTCTGGTGGAGTTACTTTATGTGTGTGTGTGTGTGTGTGTGTGTGTGTGTGTGTGTGTTTATAAGTAGTTTTAAACCTTGTGATCCACAAAACAGCATAACAGTTCATTCATTTTCATTTTCATTTCATTTCTTCATTTATTTGTTCATTTCAGGCACAACAAAAATACATATATTAAATATAAAGTGCACAAAAACAAAAAACAAAAAATTACCTGAAAAGGAGTGGGACGAAGAAAACTTATTAAATCCCACCCCTATACTCACTCATCAACAAAAAACAATAAGCTTCCCACAGCTACGCCCATCGTTGCAACCAAA